TCAAACTAAACAATTTAGTTTGTTCTTCGTAACATTTTTTTTCTTTCGAGAACAAATCAGTAGACCCTTATGTACTAGATAGTTGGCCATGAAATATAGTTCACGCGTAATTCTCGTGCGTACGTGCACTGCAGTAGTGCGTATCAATTAAACGTCAACAATATTCAATTGCATAGTTACAGTTTTGTTATATCAGAGGAAAGGAATCATTTTCGTACTATACTGTGAAATCATCAACCAGTTGAAAATGGAAGTAGGCCGCGCGATTGAAATGACGTGTTTTGATTTTGCTAAAAAAAAAGTATCTGTGTTTTTATGGTTTTTATCAATTTGAACGATTAAAAAAACTCTAAAATTGATGGTGTAAAAAAAAAGATCTTATTCCGGATTTGTATATGAAGGACGAAAAGTGGAAGAGGCTGATAGGCAAACAGAAGGTCATCAAAATGGAGTGAATCAAGCGGGCCGCCATCCGGGAAGTTGAAGCATTTGAGTAAGGGTTGGTCGCCGGTAAGGGCCAGTAAGTGCTGCCAGCAGATGAATCAAGAGGTATTCGAAACAAAATTGGTAAGAAATGTCCATTCAAATCGATTTAATACAGTTGAACAAATTTCAAAACTATATACGTGTCAGATTTGGAAATAATATTTTTGAATCTGGAAGTGTGTTTATGATACCATTATCCATTTGATAAAGGTAGAGTGAACATGCGGGCTTATTGTAAGTAAAAGTGACCTCGGAGTGGTCGTGAATTACCAGGCATTCTGAAATGGGTCACTGGAGCTGCAATAGAGCTAACACCTTCTAACTCCCGGACTAAACCTGCTTTAATTTAAGAGTAATAAAAAGCAGTTTTCTTCCATAATAACACTGCCGGACAGTAGGGGTTAGATTGTACACACACACACACACACACACACACACACACACACACACACACACACACACACACACACACACACACACACACACACACACACACACACACACACACACACACACACACACACACACACACACACACACACACACACACACACACACACACACACACACACACACACACACACACATACTGTGAAATCATCAACCAGTTATGATGTTAATGAATCGATATCTATCTACGGTGTACATTAAATGTGGAAACATCAAAGATTCCTTGCTGAAGATTCTTTGTAATAGAATTGGTGCAAAGAAAGCAGACATTTTGAGCTATGTTCGAAAATGGATCATGAGTTTTTAATTATCATCGGAAGAAATTCAGCAGTTCTTCGCGTTTTTTTTCGAAAACGAAACCAAGTGGTTGGATTCTACGTTTAACGTAAGTGATGAATATGTATACCGTAAAATTAATAATATTTTCAGTCCGCATCGTGCTCTCTTGCCGTGCGGATCTATTTGCTTTTTGCTGAAGGAAGTGTTACTACTACCTAAAGCTACAACAAATTTAAACAGCACTTTTCAGTGCTCAACCTGTAACATTTCTACCTTGTTCAACTCTTGGACCCTACCCTATCGATTTGGAAAATTCCTCTTCGATCCTTCAGATTCTTATATTAATCTGCTTGGAAGTCGATTTGCATAATAATTTACTGCCGCCATGGCGCCTAAACGCAAAAGAAAGGGGCAAACTCTTGATCCCTCTTCTGATGAAATTTATTTGAGTAATCATTTGATTTGCTCACGGATGATGAGAATGATCCATCATCCAGGAAAAAATTCTAGTAAACGTTCCCGGCTTAATGCCAAGAAGGAAAAGATTTCCCCTATTGTGATAACCACTTCAGATTTCCATGCTCTTCGCATGGACCTTTTGAACTTCGTGAAAGTTAAGTTTTCACTACAATTTGGACGTCGGGGTGAATGCCGTGTATTGGCTGAAACCTTGGACGTTAAATGTCTTCTCAAGTATCTTACTCAGAAGCTGCACAATTTTTTTTACTTACGACACCAAAACTGAACGTGTGTTCAAGGTTGTCATGAAAGGACTGCCCAGTGGTGAATCCCTGGATCAGATCAAAGATGAACTGGCAAAATTACTTGGAGTTGTGCCACTCCAAGCAATCAAAATGAAAATGAAATCCCGTCCTGGCGATTCGCGCAACGGGATTTCTAATGATTTTTATTTAGTTCACTCCAAGTCTAGTGAACTAAACAACCTTAAGGCCTTAGAAAAAGCTACACACTCAGCTACGTTTTGCTTGTTTGGTATTTTTTTACCGAAAATAATCGGTAAACGAAAAATATTACAGATTTTTCGGTAAATCATAAAAAAAATACCAATATTCGGTAAAGTTTTACCGAAATAATGGTGGTCTGAATTTTTAAATGACGTACTCTGTAAAAAAATTACAGTATGAACTGTAAAATGAGATAATCGCCGAGTTCGGTAAAAAAAAACGAACAAACCGTCAAACATAAATCAAATTACCGAACTTCGGTTTGTACAAACTGTCAAACCGTGAAGAAACTTTATTTATAAGTGAACCGTGCTTCGAGGATAAACCAACTTAAAGTGCTGATGAATGGAACCAGGTACAGTATTATAAACAGAAGTATTTTGCAACAAACAATTCATTTAACAATTACTATTTTATAGACCGAAGAAATTTTTACCATCCAAAATACAATGTCACCCGTTCTATTTGTTAGAAGACCATTCTTGGAGGGCAAAAACGATCGCCCCATATGCTGGGTATCTCCTGCTCGCTATTTTCATCCAGCCAGTATCCGTTTCAAATATCGCACCAAACACTCCTGACAAAATTTTCTCAATAAAAACTATCAAATAACTATTATTGTAGAATGATAATTTAATACAAATGAATCGAAAAAAGTAGTATAATTTAAAAATAAATATTTCGTTCTCGTTTTACGGAAGTTCGGTATTAGCTACCGAATTGTTCTGTAGAAAATCACCGAATTGTTCGGTATTTTTGACAAATAATCCAAAAATCTGTTTACCGATCGTTCCGTAGTTATTTCGTTCACCGAACGTTCAGCTGTTGAAAGTTCGGTAAAAAATTACCGAATACGGTAATAATTTCTAAGTGTGTAGCCTTATGCTCCATGTCCGAGTTAAGTGGGAACACGTCAGAAAGGCTGGAGGAAATTTCCAGTGCCGTAAGTGCCAGGGAACTAAAAATTGCTACATGCCAGCTAAATGCATGAATTGTGGTGATTCCTCTCACGCAAAGGACGACTGACCTGTGAAGGAAGATGCTAAGAAATTTAAATGTTCAAATTGTGGTGAAAACCACAAATCCAATTTTTAGGAATGTAAGACTCGCAAAGCAATCCTACAATCTCGTTCTAAGCCAGGTACAAATTCCTCTGCTGTACGGTCAGCGAGGAACAAATTCTACATTCGTACCCGTAGGTACAAATATCACCCCTGCTTCAAATGTTTCATCTGTACCTACTCCCCTCGCTGCTAACAATGTTCAGCGAGTTAATGGAGCTACCTATGCTGCTATTGCAACGGGTAGAAATCAAAATACTAACCAACGTAATTCTAACGGAAATTTTGAAAATTTTGGCTGGTAATATTCTGTTTGATGATTGTTTTGCTGGTTATTACACTATTCAATATCCAAACGGCCCAACATGCTTTTCTTCAGCAAGAAATCCCTCAACTATTGATTTGGTCTTAACTGATTCATGTCAACTAGCCATGTAGCCAGTTGGTTACCAAGAAATAGTTTCTAATCCCAACAGCTCTACTTTCAATTACCATAGGGGCAGTCCATAAACTACGTAGACAGTTTAGGGGGGGTTGAGAATTTAATTTTAATTTTTTTGTATGGACAATTGTCTACGCAGGGAGAGGGGGGGTCAATAATCAAAAAAAAAACTGTCTACGTAGTTTATGAACAGGCCCATATAACTGATTGAGACCATTTATGGAATATAGCTTCGATCCAAACATTTCTTTGCAATCCAAAAATGATGTTAATTATGCTCTTGAATCTCTGACTACTGCTATAGTTGCATCAAGAGCTGCCTCAGTACCAAAGTGCGAGGTTTAATTCGATTCAATTATAATAGAAGACGTTCTTCAGCTCTTGATCCGTCTTAAAAAACTACAAGGGACAGCCCTATGGGGTTGTACGCAATGGTGACGTAGGACTACGTGGTCTTATATAATAAATGATAATGTGTATCTTTATTCAGCCAGGTATTAATCTGAACCATATTTTAATTATTTTCCTTACCTCATTTTTATATTTTCATTTTCTGTTCTATTTACTATCGTACAGATTCGTCTGGAATCTGATGAAATATTGCTTGGAGCCAATGCCCATGATTGTGCTGGGTAATTAAAATATTGATACAACAGATTGCGAGCAACGTATCCACATCATATAATGGCCGCATCAAGCAGATCGCTCGTAAGTTCACCGGAGGAAAGGCTCCTCTCAAACAGATGGCCACCGGAGGAGTGAAGAAGTCTCATCGCTACCGGCCAGGAACTGTCGCTCTGCGTGAGATCCGTCGTTACCAGGAATCGACCGAGCTGCTGACTGCAAGTTGCCTTTCAAGTGTCTGGTCCGTGAAATCGCCCAGGACTTCAAGACCGATCTGCGCTTCCAGAGCTCGGCCGTTAATGGTGCTACAGGAATCCACCAGTGAGGCGTATCTGGTCGGTCTGTTCGCCATCCACGCCAAGCGTGTCACAATTATTTCATGTTCCATTTTCGGTTTTCACAAAGTGTAATCCCATATAGAAATCACAGACGTCAAAACCGTACGATCGTGTCATGGATACAACTTCTTATTCTTTTTGTCAACATTATTTTCATAAGGCAAATCAACTGATTTCTTATCGCGAACTTTCGAACATTTGAAAGTTCAATAAATCATCAAAACCTCTTTCACGTTGGAAATCGATTTGTGGCCCTGAAAAGGGCCGATTGATTGTTTGGATGGTACAAATCTTCTTTGAGCTGGTGTACTTGGTGACGGCCTTGGTTCCTTCAGAGACAGCGTGCTTGGCCAACTCACCCGGCAGCAGCAGACGGACAGCAGTTTGGATTTCGCGGGAGGTGATCGTCGAGTGTTTGTTGTATTGAGCCAGCAGCAATACGTTCGAAGATGTCATTGACGAAGTTGTTCATGATGCTCATGGCCTTCGACGAGACTCCGGTGTCCGGGTGAACCTGCTTCAACACCTTGTAGATGTAGATGGCATAGCTTTCCTTCCTGCGCTGTCTCCTCTTCTTCTTCTCGCCCTTGACGATGACTTTCTGCGCCTTTCCAGACTTCTTAGCGGCCTTTCCACTGGTTTTCGGTGCCATGATGAAATTGTTCACTGCTCAGTAAGCAGAAACCTCGCCGTAATGCTATATCGACGAAACATCTACTTACTACTCTCTGACGACTGTGCTGGGGAAGCAGCATATGCATGTACGTAATTGGTGGATTTGTTAATTATTTCGACGCTTTTGGACAATGCTTGACATTTACTACTTTTTCAATAGTTTCTTGTTGAACATAAATAGTCAATATCGATGCGTAGTTGATATCGATGCGTAACTGTAGCCCTGATCGATTGGTGATAAAAGTGTTGAAATTGGCTCAGGGGCAGCTGAGTTATTAACGTTCAAAATCTTTCATAATTTGTTACATGTTCCATTTTCAGTTTTCACAAAGTGTACCTCCATATAGAAAGCAAAGACGTAGTCCTACGTCAATACCAAGAAAAATCACTTCAAAGGATTCAGAACAAAGTTCTGAAAATGATTTTGAAGTTGCCTCCCTGGTACAGTAAACCAAGGTAAATAGAATTTCGAATGTTGAACAAAATAATTAATAATTTCAGGTAAATTCGTTGCAATCCTCAATTGCCATGATTAATTCCCTTTAAACTTACATAGATAAGATGTAATGTTAGTTTTTAGTTTTAAGATGTAAATTGTTATACTGACATGCAGGCTTAGAAAACCTGTTTAAAATAATGAATTGCCAAGTCAGGAACACTGTTACAACACTTAACAATTACGACTGGTAAGTTACTGTAGTAATTGGAGCACCTAGGTTAAAATGAAATGTAACTTATTTTGAATTTGGAACAAATTGAGAGTTGAAAAACTACAACGGACAGCCCTATGGGGTTGTACGCAATGGTGACGTAGGACTAAATACGTGGTCTTATATAATAAATCTTATTTGTTAACTGCAGCAGGAGCTTGTTTTTTGTGTAAATAGGAATAGGAATTTAAGCGGGGTTCTCTCTGTTTATACTCTTTGGTATGACGCGCTTGACATAGATGGCCCACAGCGACTCACGAAGAGCTACTGATTCCGATCAATAGCGTTGCGGCTTCTCCCTCCTTCTATGGATGCTCATGTGGGCTACAGCTCGCTGCTTGCAGGCAGTCTTTCGTTGTGTACTGGAGAACACCACCACTCACCACGTGGTGATTGAATAAAAGCCGTTTGGTGAGACCGGATAAAATTCAACTTTGAAATCGTTTTTCGCAACATTTGCACATTCGTGCAATTTTCATTAGAGACATTTTGAAAAATGATAAAGTCATAAAGGCGTAGAAATATTTCTGATTGAATGGTGATAAAATTATTGAAATTGGTCCAGGGGCAACTGAGTTATTAACGTTCAAAATATTTCATAATTTTGTTACATGTTCCATTTTCGGTTTTCATAAAGTGTACCCCATATAGAAATCACAGACGTAGTCCTACGTCAAAAAATGCCTTATTGGATTCTAATTTACAGCCTTTAGACATCACTCCGATTCCAAAAATACCCATATTCATGGGTATTTGATAGTATTTCTGACTTTTATGAAATCGGAAGCCCCCATCTTGGATTTCAGAATGGCGTCGAATATAATTCCGCACTCTAGACGACACCCCAGATTGAAAAAAAATACCTATATTGATGGGTACATACTTGATATTGAACATCCCTATTCTAAACACAAACTGTTTGGAGTACTCCGGATACTAACCGGATAGAAAAATAATGGATATCGTCCCAATCCACTTTTTTTTTCTATCCGGATTATTTTAACTCGGATTTTATCCACTTTAAAATTATCCGGACAGGGATATGGATAGGGGGGGGGGGGATAATATCCAATGATAGATTGGAAAGGGATAATGGAAAGGGATAATTTTGATGCCTGGGCACTGTATCTTTAATTTGTTCATACATTGCTGGAAAATCAGGTAATATCAAGGAATTTGGATTTCATCATTGTGTCGTTACCCTGTTTAAACTTTTCTTAAGATTACATTTTTTATGAGCTTTCATTTAAAAAATAATCATAACAAAAAATTATGCAAAGTTTCATGGAAATCGGAGAAGGTCCAGTCAAAATTTCATTTTTTTTCGCTAATTTGCTTCCCTAATAAAGATAATTATAAAAGAGAGCTTATCGACGTGTTCGGGGGATCGTCCAAACCATTTTTGGGATAGTTTAACCATCCGGGATTTAGTTCGTTTATGGTATTTGTTTATTAGGGTTGGAACTGCTTATTATAACTTTTTTTTGGACTAATTGGGCATTCAAGCCGTTTCAATGCCACTCTGATTTTGGATTTCCGGCAATCATGCAGTTGCTTTGGCACTTTCAAGGCAGTTTTGAGTTTACATTTTGGCTATACAACATTTGTGTTCAGTATTGGTGGGTCTTGGCATGTCTCAAAATCGACAAAAGTTTGGGAACCACTGTTCGACTAATCGTAGCTTTAGATTGACGAGAATACGTTGAATCCTGATATCATATATCATATCAGAAGATCAAAGGAACAACATCCTAATTCGAATAATAAATATAAAAAGGAAACATTTTCATGACCCCGACGTGATTTGAACACGCAACCTTCTGATCTGGAGTCAGACGCGCTACCGTTGCGCCACGGAGTCCTCTATGCCGATGGTCGGTAAAGTGCCACTTTTGCCGATTGTGAATGTAGAGCAGTTTTGCAAGTTTAATGTTTTAAAATCTATCTGGGTCTTACAAGTGGCCCCATAGCTCAGTTGGTTAGAGCGTCGTGCTAATAACGCGAAGGTCGTGAGTTCGATCCTCTCTGGAGCCAAATTTTTAAATTATACCTTGTTGCATTCTTGACTCATGTCATTTGACTGAAAACTTATTGTGATTCTCCTCTCATACACATGATAGTGTCATGATCGGAATCGCTTTGTCGTTGTTGTTGTTGTTGTTCTGTGATGATTGGTGGTGTGAAATTATGCAACGTGTGTGAGCTTTTGAGGTTTTTCCACCTGACTTTTAAATTATTCAACACGTCACAATCGGTTTCCAATCGTCACCTTCTCTGTCTCTATCGGGAGGAAATTGTCATCAGGGTCTCATGTGACCTGATGTGAAAGGATGATCAAAAGGGCAGGCGGCACCAGCCCAATGGCGTGTGATGGTGAGAAGAGGGGAAGGAGGATCCCCGATTTCATTGTTTGTGTACCGATTTCCGGATATTGTCGCCATTCATTGTTGTCATTATTATAGTAACCATTATGAAAATATATACAAATTTGCGGACGGTGGTCGGCGATGGTACTCGACACCGCAAATAAAACGGTAAGGAGGGGACTGGGAAGTGGAATTTAAAAATAAAACGGGAGACGGCGAAGCGAAAAAAAAAATTACCCGGTAATTATTTTTAATCAGCTTACCATTGGCCCCGGAATGGTCAAATGGAAACGCTATTGGTCTTTCTGTCTGTCGATGGGGATGATGTTGATGATGATGATGACGTGCGCTTCATTGACAGGTAGAACTCGGAAAAAGAGTGACCCCCACCCAGAATGGAAGCCACTGCTGGGGTGACGAAAGTGTAAAGCAAAAAAAAATGTTAAGCGTTTAATTATTTAAATGACAAAGTTATTATTACCGACTCGTACGGTAGCATAACAACACGGGAAAGGCTGGCAAATATTTGGCACAAGCGACCCACTCTTTTTTTCCCATGATTTTTTGTTGGTTTGATCGAAGCTCGGAAAAATGAGAAGCGCTTTCCTGTAACAATGTTTTTAATTTTGTTTCATTTCCAATATTTAATCGGCTTCGCTTGTTGGGTCGGTGCAATGTGCGGGACTGGAGGCTTCGCATTTCACTATGCATGTAATTATTGGATACTTTGAATTTCAACGAAACAATAATTACCATCCGAATTGAGTTGATATTGGATTTACGCTGGATGTTTTTTTTATTAGATCGGTCATCACTTAGTGTGTAGATACCTAACAATTTTAGCTGCAGATAAGCTTATGTAGGCAACATAGCTAATTTCTGCCTGCATAAGCTAGACTGCAGCTAAAATTGTTTGTTAGTTGTGCATTGGAGGAATGTAAAAAAGTCATCTTGGCTCCAGAGAGGATCGAACTCACGACCTTCGCGTTATTAGCACGACGCTCTAACCAACTGAGCTATGGGGCCACACGAAAATTTAGAAGCAGAGTGAAAAATTTCGACACATGTAAAATGGCAGCATTCGGATATGGGAAAAGTAACAGTTTACTCGGTAGATTCACACAGAGGACTCCGTGGCGCAACGGTAGCGCGTCTGACTCCAGATCAGAAGGTTGCGTGTTCAAATCACGTCGGGGTCAAAGAAGTGGCATTTTTTTAGTAAACTCCTAATCTCAGTATGGCAAGAATATGTAGAGGCCCTCGGGAATCCAAGGTAGTGACTTTCGGTTTCGGAACAAGTGTCAGATACCCTGGAATATGGATACTATTAGACTGGAAACGAGGGGTAGAGGTCGAAAATCGATATTTCATGCCATATTCGAATTCAAGATGGTGACCAGCTGAGGGCTGAAAGTCTCTTTAATAAAGCAAAAGAAGAATGCAGAAGATGGCGACCTCCGGTGTCGGATAAACAATTACAAACATATTTACAGAGCGATATCGGGTATGACAGTCTGAGGAAAATTTACTCATCGCGAGTTCCTGCACTTTTTGCGATTCATAGGTAAACTAATCTCAAATTTAGGTCGTTCCATATGACTAATCGATCAGATACGACCTCTTTCTATTTGCATGAAACTTATCAGCTGCAGGGATTTCTCTTATTGTGAGGATATACTCTCTGCCTAAAGCTGCCAGTCTGTCCACTTGCTCGTTTCCTCTGATTCCACAGTACCGTATGCGAGATAATGTTTGCACCATCGTACAAATAAGGTTCCCGTTTCACCTGTGCATACAATGCCTTGGTTTTCTTTGCATGCACGTAACCTATCCAGTATTTTACGATCGCTTATGGCCGCCACAATCTGGTTGAGTTTCTGGTAGGGAACATAAGATTTGAA